CTCCTGGCTCTGCCTTCCGAGTGCTGGGACTAAAGGTGTGCACCACCGCCGCAAGCCACCAAGGTTTTCTTTTTAAGTAATATCATTATCATGAACTATATTTATTGACTACACAGTGCCATTCAAGGCTTCACATACTCTTATCAGATACAGCAGTCTAAGAACTCAGTGTCGAGGAGCCAGCTAAGGGTTAGTCTTGGAAATTGACCTTCTCAAGAATGTGTGGGGTTTGAGCAATCCTAGCCTGCTAAACTGGGCCTTCTCTGAATCAGCAAACATGAAAAAGGGACCTTCCCTTGTTACAGTCTAGTCCCTGGGACCTTTGACTATATAATCATTTGTTTATTGGAGGCTAATTAATAACTATTTAATTTTATAACTACTATTCCACCACTAGAATGCAAATTTCATGAAGTTCAGTGTTGCATTCCCGGTATCTGAAACAATACTTAGCTTACAACAGGCGCTCAATAAATATTTGTTGAATGAATGAATTAGAATTATTATTTGCACAATTCTAGTAATGACTGGATTTAAGTCACTGGTTTCTTATCCTAGGGATGACATTTCCCCATCTGTTTATTTCTCTCTTCTGAACAGGTCTATAATTCAGTGGCAAGATCTTTCCCTCGAAGATTTGTTTTGCCCTTAGATATCAGTGTGGATGCCCCTGAGGGGAAGAACCTTAGTCCACTGTCCTATTCTTCTGCCAGTGCTGTGAAACAGGGTGATGGAAAGGTAAGCTCCCAGCGGGCACCAGACTAAGGGCTGGGTTTTAGTGACATTAGTCTTGGGCTCTTCTCCAAATGTTCGGTGCCCAGCAGGTTTCATAATAGTTGGCTGAGCTTGGGTGAGGTCATGGAGACTTGTTTGCACAAGAGTCACAGAAACTGGGTGGGATGGACACTGTGTTTGGCTATACCTTCTCTGCTCTGAGCCAGATATAGGCAACTTGCCAGTGGTTGTGGAAGGTGTGAGCTTCTAAGGTTGACCGGACCATCCCCACCTTCTGGAGACGCTGCTTTTCCCACGAGAATTTTACTGTGCAGCTCTGGGTGCCTTACTTTTAGCAGAATACAGAAGCACTCTGCCTCCTGTGGCATTTGACGTAGTCACAAAGCCTGACAATGTTATCTGCATGTGCACACACACTGTGGAAAGGGGAACACTATGAAACATGACGTAGAACTGTGGTTCTCAGATCCTGTCACCATGTACAGAGTAGTGTGCCCTTACACTAGAGAAATGAAAGAGAAGTAAGAGAAAGTAAAGAGAGTTAAGCAGCCACTTTTAATCCTTTGGGGATCTCTCTTAGATCTGGTGCTCTCCTGAAAATCTACACCATGAGGACCTGGTAGAGGAAGGAGGGATTGAATTTCCCCAAATCAACTATGGCCGGTTCAATGGCAAAAAGTATAATTTCTTCTACGGCTGCGGCTTCCGGCATTTGGTGGGGGATTCTCTGATTAAAGTTGACGTGGTGAACAAGACACTGACGGTAATGGAAATCTCCTTTCTCACTTTTTCCAAGACCTGCTCTGCCCTTTGAATTATTTCTGTTTTGTTTAAAGTAGTTCCTCAGATGTATTACTTTTCTTAAAAAATTTTACTGTCTGTTTATTTTATGTGTATGTGTTTGTGCCCGACTGTATTATGTGCACCACGTGTGTGCAGGAACCTGTGGAGGTCAGATGAAGGCATCTGATCCCCTGGAGCTGCGGTTACAGGAAATTGTGTGCTGTTGTGTGGGTGCTGGGAAATGAACCTGGGTCCTCTGGAAGAACAGCCAGTGTTCTTACTGCTGAGCTGTCTCTGCAGCCCAGTTCTTTGGGTTCTTTAATATTTCAACAGCTTAGCTATTTTCCTAAGTTTGAGAATCATGAATCACTTAAGCAAGGGGTTGGTTTCCTATGACAAATCTCAAGGAAAGCCAAAACTTGGGAAACTAATGGTAAAATTGATGTCATTTTTTTGGGAATAATTATGGGGTGAAGGCTGTAGTGACCCCTATATTTCAGGTTGATGGGAAATTATATGAGATGGTGATCTAGAGGCAGCAGAGGCTCCTCTTACCTACATTCAGAAGATCCTGTTAATGCCCAATTTATGCTGTCAGTGACAAACGCTGTGGACCGCTTGCTTCCCACTCACCCTCACCTTTCATCAGATGCCTTCTGTGTGTGTTGGGGGGACTTGCAGGTTTGGAGAGAGGACGGCTTTTACCCCTCAGAGCCCGTTTTTGTTCCGGCACCAGGAGCCAGTGAAGAGGACGGTGGGGTTATTCTTTCTGTTGTGATCACTCCCAACCAGGTAAGTTCATTTGCCTGCCCCTGACCATAAAAACGCAGCACTAGTACATCGGAGCATGATGTGGAGTGACGCAGCCCACAATCTATTTTGATGCCTTGTGGCATCTTCTCTGTCCTCTTCCCCTTTTTACTGTGTATATATCCCCCACTTTAAAAGTCATAGTCCATACTTCTCAAAGTCCTATTTGTAAAATCATAACCCGTGGTGTCTTCAGAGGCATTTGTTATATACAAAGCACTTTCATACATATTATGATAATTATTATAAATTATGAAATACTATTTTATTCATGTGGAATTTGTTACTTCTAGAAGTTGCAGGTGGCTTGCATCTGATTTCACGGTGGTAAAGCCAGTGTTTAAATCATCTGGCTTCTGGCCTGATGTTCATACCACCATCCATGTTTCTAATTTCAGTGAACTGACCTAAAAAACTCCAGTATCACAAGCCCTGGCTAGCATCTCAGTAATGCTACTTACTGACTTGTCTGAGCAATCTTATAGCAAATGTGTTCTCCTCAAGCACCAGCTTTGATCAATTATTAGTGGCACCTGGGTGTGGGGTTCTGCACCCTTTAATGGTTTAGGAAAAAAAAAAAGAGTGCTGTGATCAATTAGTAATGTCTGCTATGGGCTTATTCCATGAACTTAACACTCCAGTAATTAGGTCAGCACCAATCTCAGACTGACTTACAACACTGACATTTGTACGGCTCCTAAGTAACACAAAGTAGCAGCATTTCTAACTTGAGAGAAATAATGTCCGCGTATTTTACAAGATTAGAAAGGGTCAAGCAAAAATATTGTTAGACTCAAAGCCATCTTATGAAGAGAATTGGCACAAACAACCTTATCTCCTTGCTTACGGTGTGAACTTCTTTAGTCACGGTGTTTCTGTCCAGGTCTGCAACTGGGCAAACACTTAGTGGGTGGCTGGGTGAGGCGTAGGCACTGGGAACCTGAGGAAGACGTGCTTTCGTTGTTAGCAAGGTTAGCCAGTGGAGATGGTTTCCAAAGGAAGACGGAACTTCAGTGTTGCACTTCCTTTTCTAGAGTCAAAGTAACTTTCTCCTTGTCTTGGATGCGAAGAACTTGACAGAGCTGGGGCGAGCCGAGGTACCTGTGCAGATGCCTTACGGGTTCCACGGCACATTCGTACCCATCTGATGGCACAGCCAGGTCTGAGATTCAGGTTCCAATGAGTGCACTCTGTACAGAAGAGAAAACAGCGGGTCCCACCCAAAACTGCTGTAGTTTGGACCTGATCCCGACCCCTGTGAGCTCGTATTTTGAATAGTTTGTTCCCAGCTTGTGGCACTATTTTGGGAGGCTGTGGGAACGTTCGGGGATGAGGGACCAGCTTTTGAAGCCCCTGGTTCTCTCATGTCCTCTCTCTGCTTCCTGCCCACGACAATGTGAATGGCCTTCACTCCGTGCTCCCCACCTTGCTACAGATGGGGTGCTCCACCATGCCCCCCCCCACTGTGGTGGACTGTGACCTTGAAACTGTGAGCCAGAAACCGTGAGCTGAAGGAAATCTTTCCACCTTGGGTTGTTCTGTCAGTTTGGTTTGGTTTTGCAGCAGCAGTAAAGTAACCCCAAACTGGATATATTGTTTTACATTTCTATTAAAAACATAATTTGTGAGGCAGTTATGGTCTGCTGTGTTTTTCATGCCATTTTAAAGGATTTATTTTATGTGTATGAATGTTTTACCTGCATATATGTATGTGTACCACATGCATGTCTGGTGCCCGAGGAGGTCAGAATGGAGTATCACATCCCCTGGAACGGGAGTTACAGATGGTTGTGAGCTACCATGGGGGTGCTGGGAACTGAACCCAGGACCTCTATGAGAGAAACAAGTGCTCCTAATCACTGAGCCATCTCTCCAGCCCCTTTATATGTTTTAAAAGGATTTATGTGTCTGTGTGTGACTGTGCGTGTGGTATGTATATGTGAGTACAGGTGGAGACTGATAGGAGTGCTGGGGGTCTGTCTCACTCGGGTTCCTGCAAGAGCAGAGTGCATGCTCTCACTGCTCAGTGAGCTCTTCAGCCCTGGCTTTAGATTATCGTAGGGCAAGCATCAGTATACTATTTACAGTTTTTATGTTATTTGTTGTTACTGTATGTGTGTCTGTGGACAATGTATGTATATGTGCAGACATGGAGGCGTAGGGAGGTCAGAGGACATCTTTCTACAGTGGGTTCTCTCCTTCACCTGGGAACTTCCGGGCAGTGCTCCACTCTGTTTTCCATCCCCACATCGGATGCTGGGATTATGGACACAAGGCATTGCATCTGGCCTTTTGTGGGTTGTGGATCAAACTCAGGTCATCAGGGTTATTCAACAAGCATGTTTACCCTCCGAGTCACTTGTAAGCCCTGGGGGATGTTTTGAAGGTAGTCTACATGTATTGAACATGCTTTTCTCTACTAAAAGAAGACATGGAAAGGGGCTGGTGGGCGGGGCTGGCGGGGCTGGCAAGAAGGCTCACCAGGCAAAGGTGCTTGCAGTCCAAGCCTGATGACATGGGTTTGGTTCCTGGAACCCACGTAAAGATGGAGGGAGATAGTTGACTCCACAAAGTTATCTTTTGACCCCATATATGTGCTGTGGCACTTGTGCTACCCGACCCTGCCACACACAAACTTTGAAAAAGGAATACACACAAAAAGAATAAAATTAGGACATTACCACTACCACATTGGTGATCAGAGGCCCTGGGAGAAGAAATACAAATAGTCAAGGATAGTAGACTCAGAGCAGTGGTTCTCAACCTCCCTAACGCTGCGACCCTTGAATACAATCCCTCATGTTGTGGTGACCCCAACCATAAAATCATTTTTGTTGCTTCTTCATAACTGTAATTATGCTACTGTTGTGAACCATAATGTAAACATCCGTGTTTCCCAATAGTCCCAGGAGATCCCCGTGAAAGAGTCATTGGACCCCCTCAAAGGGGTCGCGACCCACAGGTTGATAAACACTGGCTTAGAATCTAGACCAGCACCTTGCTCTCTCCAGGTCTGTAACAGGTCACGGTCTGTGTGTTACAATTGGCCCTAAGGTGTTTGGGACAAGAAGCTAGTGCTGTCATGTTTGGTGGCCTCTGGACTGGGTCTTCCTCAGATGCCTGTGGCAGACACTGTCCATTCACTTCCGTTTTCCTCTTAAAGACCACCCACTACTATCCACATCTCTCCCCCAGCTCAGTCCTCAGAGGTGGTGGTTTTGAGGGAGATTGCTAAATGCAGGCATTTATTCAAATCTCCAGATAGATAATCTTCCAGGGGTTGATGAAAAGCAGGAGGCTCTTTATTTAATTGGGCAGCAGGTGGCAGTAGAGACCACATAATCTTCACAGTTCTAAGCCCTCTGTTTTTTACTAATAGCAGTCAAGTGAACCTCATGCTCCCAGAATGCCTTGTTCCCTTTCTTTCAGTTGCCCTGAGGTTGAACTTTAATCTTAGATCAGTTATACTGCCCAGGACCCTTCTACCTGTTCACTGTTCCTGAAGAAGTCCTCCAAGATGTGATTTGGACACCTGTTAACTTACAGCTAGGTCCATGGAATGTCAGTTTCTTCTTTTAATTTCTGTAGGGGTTATTCCGAACCCTATTAACCCTTTCCTCCCCAGTGAAGTGTTCCTTATATATAAATGCCTTGTGTAGAGGATTGCACCACATGACAGTAACTAATAAGACCTAAGTCCCATGTGAGGTTTTACGAGAGGCAGAATGTGATGTGTAGACAGAGCTAAGAGTGTGGAAGCCAAGAAACTTGAGAGGCTAAGTCCCTTGATGTTCACAGAAGTCCACAGGAGGAAAAGCATTCTTATATTTCCTCAGACAAAACACAGAGGTTTAATATATTCTGACTAGACATGGAGGTTGATGGAGTCTCTGACTTCTGGGAAGGACACAGATCTGAGGCATCTTTCTTCTGCATATGAACCTTTACTTCATCTCAGTATGGGTGTGATGTTCAGTGTACAAGTGAGAGGAAAGGAAGAATGAGAGGGTCTGCTCCTGGCTCAGCTTTGCCATGGGGAAGCAAGATACAGAACAGAATGGAAGATGGCCAGAACTGATGAGGTGGAGAGTTTGGGCTTTGAGTTTTCTTCTTTCATTTTTTCTGGTATGCATAGCTCCAGAGAGTAGGCCACCACTATCTAAGCAAGCAGGACTCAGTTGTACCCGAAAATGTTATTCAAGCAGTTGGAAATTCCTTTCTCTTGGAGAGGAACTAGATGGGAAGAAAAATGTGGGGTTTCTTTCCCTCTATACACAGAAGAAAAGAAAAACCCATTCACAATGCTTCAACCTAAGGGTATGCAGTTAATATTCTGGACACTTCCTATCTCGAATTCCAAGGCAGCCAGGGATTTGTCACCATGCCTTAAACAAGCCACACCCACATTTCATTGGCTTAAACTCTTCCTCCTGGAATTTATTACTTACCCATCTGTTGGACTCCTTAGAACCCAGCTCAGAACACTTTGTTCTTGGGAGCTTTCTTTTCCCTTTGAGGCAGAATTAGTAATCTTTCCCCCCATTAAAGTGAACTTCTGGACGACAGGGACCATTTTGTTGTTCTGAGGTGCACATGTCTGATACTTAAAGCATTTGGTATTTTGATCTTAGGTGAACACTTTTTAAATTTAAGATTTTCATTTGATGAGTGGATGGGTGATGGCTGTGGGGACTGCCTTGCCAAAGATGTCCATTTGGATTACTTACAGGATTTTATTCTTTTGAGATAGCCTCTGAGCTCACCATTCTCAGATGTCTCAAGCCCCAGTGCTAGGATTACAGATTTATGCTACACCTGACTCTCAGACCGCATCTAATAGACGCCGACCTTTGAGACAAAGGGTCCAAACACAGCCATTGAATGTTGCACAAGAGCAATGGAGATTACACCCGAATGCCTTTCGTTTCAAAGCACTGAAAACCATCAATCTAAAACCAGGATTGGCTTAAGGCTGAGGGCTCTGAAGGGTGAATCTGTTCTCAGGCCTGCGTCTGGTTTGAGAAGGTCATTGCACGACATCTCTCACCTGCAGTGTCACAGTTTTCCTTTATTTCCACTTGAGCTAGTGTTTTACTATGTTGCCTAGAATAGACCCGAACTCCTAAAACCAATCCTCCGGGCTCAGCCTCCAGAGTAACTCTGAAAGCAATGCACTGTTACCCTTGGCTAGGGTTTCCTTTATTTAAAGATACTCCCAATGTGGTACTGGGCTGGGGTGTATCTGATAAGGGCGCCCAGCCACTGGATTTTTTTTTTCTATTCTAACCCAGGGTTGTCAAAAATGGAACGAAAAGGGAAGACACAAACTATCGTGGGCAATTTAAAAATCCAGGCCTCTGCCTCCCACCCACTCACTGCCCCAGTATTTCTGACGGCCTGGCGAAGACTGAACAGCAGGAGGCGCTAGAGTCTGCCTCCAGGAGGACTGAGAGGCTCCGAGCGCCGAAACCACCCGAAACCACCCCGGAGGAGCGCTTCCGGCGGGCGAGGGCCGAGCTCGCACTGCGCAGCCGCGGAGGGCGGGGCTGGCCTCGGCCCCGGAAGCCGGAAGTGCCGGTCGCTCCGGGGTCGCTGGCCCGAAGAACATGAGCGCGGCGGGTGGCGTTCGCCGCCGCGCGCGACTGTCACGCCTCGTGTCCTTCAGTGCGAGCCACCGGCTGCACAGGTGGGGTGTGGTCACGTGTGTCACCGCAAGTGCGGGATTTTTCCCGCTACGTCCCCGGGGGCGTGGCCACACGCGTGGGTTAGAGCCGATCTGGGGCGGGCGGAAGAGGAAATGGTGAAGGTGCGGAGCCGCACTACCGAGCCTCACCCGGGAGAGGGCGGTAGAGCTATGATCCGGGAGGCTCCACCCTGGAGAGGTTCCCTCCGGGGGCTGCCCCAATCCAAAATCATGCAGCTGGCGGGCATCACACAGTACCCTGCACATCCTGAAGGCACAATGACAGGAGCATGAGCTACCGGGTGCAACACAAGGTGCCCCCCTCTTTTTTTTTTTATAGCGAGCACCACGGTTGGGAATTGAATCCCAGATACCCAAGGCCGCACCTGAGAGTTGGTTTTGAAGGGAGCTTCATTACTCACTAGAAGGTCTGCTCTCTGAACCATTTCCTCAGTCTGTGAGATGAGAACATCATTTCCAACAGCATCCACCCACTTCTTACCGAACAAGGCTTTGTCCCATGCTAGGAGACTGGGGTATTACAGGAAACACCACTTACTTGTCACCACCCCGTGTGTGGAATCAAAAATGTTTTGTACAGTGAGAGAATTTTCTGCAAAAGCCTTGTGACCTGTAGTGTTCTCTTAAGATGAGCAGTAGGAGAAAGTCAATCTTAAGAAAGATCTTAAAGAATTTAAATTGAAATTTAAAAAATTGTGTTTGTGTGTGCGCTTGTGTGTTATGGGCATGGCTTTTATGAAGGAGCTCGTGGAAGCCGAAAGAGGGCATGATTCCTTGGAACTGGAGTTACAGGCAGTTATGAGCCATCGTGTGGGTGCTGGGAGCTGAACCTTGGTCCCCTGCGATAGCAGTAAGAGCTCTTAATTGTTAAACTGTCTCTCCAGCCCCTCAAAGCGATTTTTATAATGGGAAACTTAAACATCAGGTTAGTAAGGATGCAGAAGATAAGGAGTTGCCTGAGTTGGTATAGATACACAAATCCATTGAGAAAATTGTTTCCTGTCTGGAACGACAGCTATACTTGTAGTAATTTTAAAGTTTCACCTAGTTTGAGTGGCCCTGAACATACTGGTAAAGTCCCCACTGGGCAATAGTTGAGGCAGAGAAGAGCAAGTTCGTTAAAAGAGGAGTCTGAGGTCGTTGTTTTTCAGGAGAAATGAGGTTTTTAAGCTGCTGGGGGACAAGTATCTCTTGTGCTTATCATTGCTCCTCACTTTGTTCTGCTGGTGTCCCATAGCCAACACTCACGGTTTGTAGAATTGAAAATTGGAGGCGGGATGTAACTCAGAGTGCCTGACTAGCATGCACCCAGGGCTCCATCCCCAGTCCTGCATAAGTCAGTGTGGTACCAGATCCCAGCACTGGTGAGGCAGAGGCAAGAGGATCAGAAGTTCAGTCATGCTAAGCTACGTGGTGATTTTGAGGCCAGCCTGGGATACAGGAGACCTTGCCAAATGAGAACAAGTGCTGACTGTGAGCGGATTAAGTGGCTTGAGATTAAGGTTTTTGGTCATTTTATGAGGTACTGTAGTTAATTAGGGAGTGTACATTGGTTCTTGATGGAAATGTGGCTAATGAAATCCAAGTGATCTATTCGGCTGATCATGTAAAGTAAAATTAAGTTGTAGATTTCAAAATCCAGAGCAAAACTACCGGAGGAATCTGGATGTCTTGCCGTCTCACACTGAGTTCATCTGGTTTTCTGTTGGCAGCCCCTCTCTGAGCGATGAAGAGAACTTGGCAGTGTTCGGGAAGTGCAACAATCCCAATGGCCATGGACACAACTATAAAGGTGAGGGAAGAACACTCTCAGTGAGAGTGAAGTGTGTGTGGTGTAAGTCCGGGGTCTGACTGAGAGGCCCGTGTACAGTGGCGGTATCTGAGCCCTTCAGTGGAAATCCAAGACAAAGAGCTATTGTCTTGCTTGGGTAAGTGTTGTGGTTTGCCCCACAACCGTCTATTCTGTTAAAGATAGTAGAAAGTAACAGCAACAACAAAGATGACTTAAAGCATTTTCTTTGACAGTTGAATGCATAGTAAAACTGCTATTGGCGTGTCCTTTTAATTAGGTTGGGCTGAAACCAATGTTAAAATTTGGTTATAATCAGTGTTTGAGGAGACAGATCTGTTTAACCTGATTTAATGCCATACTATGTATATAGGGATTGAAACATCAAATAGTACCCCTTTATATGTAGACTTTTCTATATTTTTATGTATCAGTTAAAATTTAAAATAAAAAAAAACCTTCATAGCAAAATAAAAAAAATAATTTTTTTTTTTTAAATTTTGAGTAAATAATGGCCAGTGAAAAGGGTCTGTTGCTTAGGGATGTATTGTATGGCAGAAAGGTAGTTTATATTTAAAACTCCACTGGCAGTATTTTAAGAAAGTAGTTGTGGAAGGAAAAGGGACATTATTCTTTGAGACATACCTGGTGCCTCAAAGCATGCTACATAAGCCTATAATGTAGTAGAGTGTGTGTGTGTGTGTGTGTGTGTGTGTGTGTGTGTGTGTGTGTGTGTGAGGTAGGGCTACATAAAGCTTCAGGAGATCCGAATTTCTGGTTTAGTTCCTGACTCTTTTCTGAGATGCCTCCCAGACTCAGTGTACTTACTCACCATGGAGTATCCAGTAGGGTTTGTGTGGAACGGGAAAATACAAAAGTGTAAATCATTCCGTTACAACGGTGCTGACCAAGTTTTCAAATGCTTCGTGGGAACACCTGCTGTTCCAGCAAAGCATTTTTTGTGAGCTGAGTACACGTTCTTGAAAGTAAAAGATGAGTATTTTTGTCTGTGGAGGGATTGGGTCAGTTTGGGACAGAGCTGGACATGCATGTGCATTTTCCACTTTTCAGGAAGACACTGAGTAACATCTCCGTCCTCTCAAGGATGTCAGCCTTATAAGTAGAATCCACACCTTTTTGAATTTGGCTCATTTCCTCCGCTCAGCCAAAGCTCCTGCCAAGGTCCTCTGGACTGAGTCTTACATTGATTGATAAGAAGATTTTAACTAAAAGAATAGATATTGGGAGAAAAATTGACGTATAGCCTTGGGGGCCAGAGAGCTAACAATTTATGTTGCTAACTTGTGCTTATGTGCTGATCTGTTGAAAGTCATACTTGTTTCTGTTGGTGTTTTTGTTTTCTTTCCCATAGTTGTGGTGACAGTACACGGAGAGGTACGTGCTGGAAATGTGTGTGGAGTTGTTCAGATTCTGGGCCATCTTCCAGACACTGGTGAAATCTGTGTTGAAAGCTTGTGTTTCAGTTGCTTCAATCCTGGCCTGTCTGTGTGGTGAGCTGCTGCCATGCCAGGCTTCTCTGTTACATATGGATGGGCGGAAGATCCATCCAGTGACAAGGGTGCTGGAAGTCCATGGTGCTTCTGCACTGAGAACAATAAGTGTCCCTAGGATAAAGGAAAACGTGGGCACAAGCTGCATGTTGTACAGCCTTTAATAACTTGTAAAGTTATTTTACTTTTGAGACAGGATCTCATGTAGCCTACTAGGCTGGACTTGAACTTCTTGTGTATCCAAGAAAGGCTCTGAACTCCAGATCCTCCTGATTCTGTTTCCTAAGTGCTGAGATTACAGGCATGAGCCACCCATCCAGCTCTGTGAAAGTGTAAATATGGAGAGCCTACTAGAATGATAGACACCCTTTTTTCTTCCTTAGATTGATCCTGTTACAGGAATGGTTATGAATTTGACTGACCTCAAAGAATACATGGAGGTAATGTCATATTAGGTGCTTATTATATGATATCCCCTAAGTATAATTTTTAGTACTCTGTTTGCCTTATCCATTGAGATGCCATGACTTTATGAGTTGGGGTAGGTGGGGGAGTAGAGAAAGTTTGTAGCAACTGGTCTTCTAAGGTCTTCTTACTAGAAGGTAGTCAGAGTTGTAGTCATTGGGAGTATTGTAGTAATAGGGAGAAATGTCACATACTCATCTCCTTATTGTTGGGGGGGTTTGCTCTTTTAGCTCTTTTGGGGGACCCAGCTCCCAAATAAATCACATATGGAGGCTTATTCTTAATTATAAATGCTTGGCCTTAGCTTGGCTTGTTTCTTGCCAGCTTTCCTTAACTCAAATTATCCCATCTACCTTTTGCTTCCTGGCTTTTTTTTCTTCTCTTACTTCTGTAAATCTTACTCTTATCCACAGAGATTGAGAGATCCACCTGCCTCTGCCTCTTGAGTGTTGGGATTTATGCCATGTGCCACCATGCCCCCTTCCCCATTTTTTTTAAGATTTATTTTTAATTATGTGAACCAATTTTTTTTTTAAAGCTTAAGTATTGGAAATACAGAATTGAATGAAGGAGTCCTAGCATAAATATACAAGTGCAGGTGACTATATAGAGGCTGGAAGCCTCGGATCTCTGTAAGCTGAAGTGACAGGTGGTTATGAGCTGTCCCCTGTGGGTTCTGGGAACCCAACTTGGATCTTCTGAAAGAGCATCAGGGGCTCTTCTCCATCTTGAGCCATCTCTGCAGCCCCAAGACTACACTTCCTTAACAACTGTGACTTGATGCTGAGTTACCAAGGCAGTTCATGATAGAGATAACACATCAGCATGTACTCAATTCATGATAGAGATAACACATCAGAATGTACTCAATTCATGATAGAGATAACACATCAGAATATACCCATTTCATGATAGAGATAACACATCAGATTGTATTCAGTAAAAAGCTTCTTGATTGTTTTATTGTAAATTCTTGTGTTGCAAGAGATTTTAGAGATTATTTATTCCAGTTTCTTCATTCTGTAAATTAAAACTGAGGGATGCTGGACAGTTAACTCCATTGCCCCAGGTTATATGGTCTTTCTTGGTCACAAAGTGGAGACTTTTTTTCACCCAGTTGTTTCCATTATCCCACCATTTCAAGCTGCTTGTTTAGTTCTTCATTTCAGCTTACTTTTGTTCTCAAGGTTGACAGGATGTTTTGTAAAACAATGTTACTAATAATTACTTTCTCATATTGTTCATATATTCAACAAATTTGTTTCTTTGCATCATTTTTTTAAAAAGCTAATTACTGGAAATAAAAAGATGAATGAATGAGACATATACATTACCTTTCCTAGGAGGTAAAGAATAGTAAGTAGTCAAAAATTTTTGAGTAAGGGAATAATGGGATGAATGAATGAATGAGTGAATGAATAAATAGCTCTGTGCCTATTAATTTAGAGGACTTATAAAGATGGGGCTTTGCGTTTACAGGGGCACAGAACATATATATATATACGGTACTGTGCACTATAAGACAACAGTGTGAGACGCCTCAGCAGTCAAGGATTGAACACTTAGGGAGCTCTTGGGGTTTTCTTCCTCCTTTGGTTACCTAAATTATTATCCCACCAGAAAAAGTGGCTTCCTGTGGCCATAGAGTGAAGTTAGAGTCCTGTAGAAATGGAGAAGTTGGGGCCAGAACTGAGATCCAAGATAGTGCAAAGATATTTATTTTCTTGGTATTCACATCTCTTCATTTGACTTATTTTTTTATTTTTTTATTTTTTGGTTTTTTGAGACAGGGTTTCTCTGTGTAGCTTTGCGCCTTGGTAGCCCAGGCTGGCCTCGAACTCACAAAGATCCGCCTGCCTCTGCCTCCCGAGTGCTGGGATTAAAGGCGTGCGCCACCACCGCCCGGCTTATTTGACTTATTTTTACAAATTAATTGGTTTAGGAGTTGACGTAGGACTCACTCTTTTTTTTTTTCTTTTTTTTCTTTTTTTTTGGCTTTTTTAAAGATTTATTTATTTATTATGTATACAGAAGAGGGCGCCAGATCTCATTACAGATGGTTGTGAGCCACCATGTGGTTGCTGGGAATTGAACTCAGGACCTCTGGAAGAGCAGTTGGTGCTCCTAACCTCTGAGCCATCTCTCCAGCCCAGGATTCATTCTTTTTATGATTCCAGTTCTGCTGAAGAAAACCAGTTATTAGTGTGCCTTCTTGAAGTAGGGCCAGGTAGAAAATGAGTTTGTGTCACACATGCTTAGATTTTTGTACAAGAGCTAATGGTAAAAATTTAGAAAGAATAAGGCAGTTACAATCTTTGCCAATGACATAAGAAGAAACATTATGTTAATATATGTAAACATCAGGAAGTGATAATCCCCATCTTTATTTTTTCTCTGAGACAGAAGGTCACTGTTAAATTATTCTTCAGGGCAGAAATTTAGAAATGTCCATCATTTTAGGCCATGTCTTAATGACACAGGGCACTATTCTCTAGGTGACACCGTGCTGTGGAAAAGTGTTCCTAGTACTTTTAGACAGAATTCAGAAGTGCTAAACTGAAGTGTGAATCACAGTGGCTTCTTTCTAGGAAGTTCCAGGAACACTCTGTTTTTGTGGTTCCTTCCCTCTGCATCAGGAGCCAGGATACATACATTCATTACAGAGAACTAGGCCTAACTTTGTTTCACAACCTAGTAAGACTGCGCCCCAGTGTCGGGTCTTAGCTAAATGAGAGGGGGGTGCTCAGAGACTTGGGGGAAGGAACCCTTTCGTGTTTGAGTCCTAAACAAGCGTGGGCTGTTCCCTCTTCTCCGTCTGCAGGAGGCCATCATGAAGCCCCTTGATCACAGGAACCTGGATCTGGATGTGCCGTACTTTGCAGATGTTGTAAGGTGTGTGTCACTGTCTCGTGTTGAGCAGTAGAAATGAAACAAATTAACATTTGATGTGATTATTGTGGTATTTCTAAACTACTGATGTAACGATAGACGTTACTGGAATTCCTGTTTTCTCTGTATTAAAATGACTTTTTTTTCATTATTTGTATTTTGAACTTCTTTCCTTGTTTTCTTCAGCACAACAGAAAATGTAGCTGTCTACATCTGGGAAAACCTCCAGAAACTTCTTCCTGCAGGAGTTCTTTATAAAGTAAAAGTGTACGAAACTGACAACAACATTGTGGTGTATAAAGGAGACGAGATCTTAGGGTTAAATTATAGGAAGGCTGATTGCTTTTCATAATTAAAAAGCCCTTTGTAATATCCAGCAGTCATCACATACTTGTGTCTCCACATTGTATTCTAGAATGCTGAGAGTTAAAAATAATTGTAAGGTCCATATTTAAGTGTATTTAAAAAATCAGACTTTTAGTATGTCCTGAATATATATTTGGTGAGGGAGCAGGGGGGAGCTCCCCCCCTCCCCCACCTCCGGGGCCTCACACATGCCAAGCATGTTGAGTTGCATTCCAGTCCTCTCAGTGCCATTTAGAGTATCTTCTGTCTAGAGATTAAAAGTTATTTCATACTCAGCAAAATGTTTTGGTGTGGAATTATTTAAAAGCAAAATAAATCCATTTTCCTTGTGTGTATTCTCTGTTACCTCATTTTTAGCATTTTTTTCTTAGTATAATATAAATAGTAAAAATGTTTGTGCAATTTGTAATATATGAACCTTAGGGGAAAAACTTAGAGGGCACAGTCTAGAGACTCTATTTCTTTGTAAAGATTTAGTTATTTTTAGTTGTGTATGATGGTATACAGAATTTATTTTTCATGATATACATAGTTTATTTTGGTGTCATGGCCCATTTGCAATTTATTTGTTGAGTGATTTTAAACAAATAACTCAAATTTTTTCAATTTAAACTTCTTATCAGTAAAATTAGAAAAATGCCTACCTTACATGGTATTTGTAGGACTTGAAAGACAAAGTACCTTTTGAAGTAATAGCAGTAATCCTGCCTTTCTAGTATTCAATACAAAATATTACACATGAATAAAATTTTTGACAACTAAAATACTAAAATTTAACCAAGTGGGCATTGCATTGTCAAAATTTATAATAAAAGTCTTTATTTACTCCCCATGGCTCTGTTTTTCTACAGGTGCCTCTGGAATCATAATCAGTGCATAAGCCTTCTCAATATTCACTAGGTGGCAATGTTCTGAGAAGCCAGTGTGTACTAGTTGTGATGTGAAGAGAAATACAAAGCCCTATACTTAAGAAGTTTAGAATACAAACCGGACACAAGGTAACAGCTATTTGTACAAAGCAAGCAAATTCATTCTTGAGAATTCAGTCATGATGAAAAGATAGTGAAGAACACCAAGTAGTTCAGCTTACATGGGAAAATTCAGTGATCAGAGCAAGTGGGATCAGTCAGGAGAAGTGTGCATAGGAAATGCTTTATTGAGTAGCATAGCTCTTTGTGTTGACTGTTTTTAACAAGGTTTAAAACATGTGGTTACTATGCATTCTTCTAAGTTAAAAGTATGCAGGTGTTCATGACATCTGGAATTCCAGACAAATAGAAATAGTTTACTGATATCAATGGTGTATTTGATCTGTTGTTCCACAGTAGCAGCTCACATTTCAGTAAACTGAGACTATTGTGGATAATGCATGTAAAGGTAGCATTTCCATCAGTCTTGGTATATACCATCAGTATATGCATCATTCTTTGCCTCATATGATTTATGTGTCCAGTTTTCACCGAAGAAACTTGTACCTTTAGCATAACTAGAAGTAATAAAGGGCATTCAGTCTATTAAGAAATTTAGTCTCTAGGGGCTGGAGAGGTAGCTCAGAGGTTAAGAGCATCTGTTGCTCTTCCAGAGGACTGGAGTTGGATTCCCAGCATCTACATCAGATGACCCCAACATCTACATCAGGTGGTTTGCAGCAACCTGTAACCCCAGCACCATGGAATCCCATGCCTCCTTTTGGTCTCCATGGGCATCTACACTCATGTCATCAGGCTTTGAACCAAGTGCTTTTATTTATTTAGAGGTCTTGTTGGCCCAAAGATAACATTTGCTTATTCTGCATTAAAATATGTTTGTCTGCATATGAGTGAGTGAATTAGTGAATGTTCATTGAAAAAAACCAAAGATACTATATTGTATACTGGTGGCTTGTTTTTCCATGGGGAGCCAGAGTGACCCAAGATTTTCTCAGGCTCTGATGAAAGGACAAAGGGAACTTTAGTCCCGTGTCCTTGTTTAGGAATGGACTTGAGAAGGCCATGCTAGTGCTGGAGAGATTTCTCAGCCATTACAGAGGCTAGGCTCACAACCAAAAGATAGGAACCTGCATAGCTCAGTTGGTAGAGCATAAGACTGAATTTCAGGGTCATGGATTCGAGCCCCATGTTTGGCTCCTCTTGACCCAAACCAGCAGGAATATGGACCCTGAACTTTGAGGAGTTGAGTGGGAGGACCGGAGATGAGAAATGAAGATGAGAAATAAGACAAAAGCAATAGCTGGAGGAGGAGGGCTTGTGTAAATTGACTTATGCCAAGCAAGTTTATTAAGAAGTGCAGCATCATCTGCACTATTTGCAGAGGGGAAATGGCTAAGGGCAGCAAAGAGACAGTGGTGGCAAAGAGAAAATGGGATACCTCAGATGTAGCTGCCTAAGGACTGATAACCACAGCCCAGGGGCAAAAGTCAGGTCCCCAGAAGCCACAACCTTGATTCTTTCAAGGCATTAGCTCCAGTCCTACCCAACCCTAGACTGGCCTTGCCAAGTCCACTCCTGGGCAAGGACATTGAACTGAAGCTCCTTTGTCTTTTCATTGGGGCCTTTGAGAAAGTCCTGGGTCAGTCTGGCTCCCGACATTTCTCTCTCTTTCAGAGGCAACATCAAACTTACATTGTAATTACTGCTTTTGTGTTTCTTGTGGGAATTGTGTGTGAAGCAAAGCCTTTCTTCTAAGTAACATATCCAGTAAATAGCATTCAGTGATTTCTTGTTGTTAAATAGATAAATGAATGGTAAATTATTAACCATTGAAATTTTATCACACTTGGCATGTATTTTTAGATTTGATTAACTAGAACATTTTGGGACTCAAATGCTGGTCCCAAAGTCATTACTATTTAGAGTTACACTCATCTCTAGGTTTAGTTCTTTTACCTGTAAATGGAATCCTTAGACTAGATGCTTTCTGAAGTTTCTTCCTCCTCTTCCTCCTCTTTCTCCTTCTCCTTCTCCTCCTCCTTTCTCCCTGTCTCCCCCAGCTCTTCCCAGACTCCTCTGCAGCTTTGCACCCCCCCCCCCACTTCAAGACCAATTTATGTTGCCCAAATACTCTTGGATGTGATGTGTCGTCTCCCACCAGAGCAGAGTTGACTTACCTGGGGCTAGTCTCTTAGAGAAAACTGTCTCTCCCTCTGCTGGCAACCAACAATTGCCAATAGCTCTACAGTTAGTTGTAGGATTGTGTGTCCACTCCTCTCTCCATGCTGGGATCCGGTCTGGCTTGGACTCACACAAGGTTTGTGCATGCTGTTGCAATTGATGTGAGCTCACGTGCAGCTGTCCTGATGTATGCGGAGGACTGTTTCCTTATGGTCATCTACTACCTCTGGCTCTTACATTCTTTCTACTTCCTCTTCTGCAATAACCCTCGAGCTGTGTGTGTGTGTGTGTGTGTGTGTGTGTGTGTGTGTGTGTGTGTGTGTACTTGAGTACATGTATGTTATATATGTTCCCTTTAGGGCTGAACATTTTGCAGTCTCTTATTCTCTGTACGTTAGCCAGTTGTGTGTCTTTGTACTGTAATCACCATGTACTGTAAATAGAAGCTTCTAATATGAAGGTTGAGAGATGCATTGATTTATGGGTATAACAATAAGTCATTAGGAAAGTTTAATACTGTCTGTTTAGCAGATAATAGTAGTAGGTTCTCTCCTAGGGCCTATGACCTGTCTAACCATAGCCTGATAATGGTGCCAGGTATGCGTTTCATCTTGTGGAGCAGGACTTAATCCAGTTGGAAAGTGGTTGGTTATTGTCTTAGTCAGCGTTCTATTGCTGTGAAGAGAAATCATGACCAAGGCAACACTTATAAAAGAGAGCGTTAATTGGGGGCTTGCTTCTGTTTTAGAGGGTTGGTCCATGATCATCATGGTGAGGAACATGGTGGCAGGGGACTGAGAGCTCTACATCCTGATCTGCAGGCAGAAGGCATACACACACACACACACACACACACACACACACACACACACACACACACACACTCAGAGAGAGAGAGAGAGAGAG